TAGCTTCATCTGAGGGGAAATTTTGTTGTGACGTCTCACAAACTTCTCCCAAGCCCGTAGTTCCTATTTTGATGCGTCGACTAGTTTTTTAGCACTTTACACAACCTGTCTTATCCCGGCAAACTTGAATCGCAGAAGCTCGTAACTGAACGCTTCGTATGGCCCAACGCCAATCGCGATGTCCGCCTTTGGGCACGCACATGCTTAGAGTGTTAGCGCGTTAAGGTATACGGACACACCCAAAGCCCACTTAGCGTCTTTCCCGCTCCTGGCTCCCGTTTTGCCCAAGTCCATGTCGATCTGGTTGGACCTTTGCCTCCATGCAAAAGCTACGTGTACCTGCTCACTTATGTCGACCGATTCACGCGTTGGCCAGAGGCGATTCCCGTAGTCAACCTCTCATCTGAGACAGTTGCGCAAGCTTTCCTAGAACGCTGGGTCGCTCAATTTGGGCGCCCAAGCGTAGTCACCACCGACAGAGGACCAAAGTTTGACGGGTCCTTCAGCAAACTGCTCAACGTCCTTGGTTGCCAAAATAACCGAACCACCGCATATCAGCGCGCAGCTAATGAGATAGCAGAAAGGTACCGCCGGCAACTCAAAGCATCACCCTGTGCCCAATCTAGCACATCCTGGCTCGAAGCACGTCCGCTCGTTCCCTTAGGCATAAGAAACACGATTAAAGCGGATTTGCGCGCCACTCCTTCGCCGCTAGTCTTTGCATGCACACAACGCTTCCCTGGTGAACTCGTCGCATCAAATGCGCTAACAACCTTCGACTATGGCGACTACGCAGCGCATCTATCTCATCACATGCGACAGCTTCAGCCTGTGCCACCCAGAGCACAGAGCTTGCATACCAACGTGGAAGAAAGCTTAACTACTTGCACGCACGTATTTGTTGGCACTGAAAACGTACGCCGGCCACTTCAACCTTCTTACTCTGGTCCGTACCGTGTTGTACGCAGAAGCGACAAAACGTTTACTATTGACTACATTGGTAAGACTGAGGCGATCAGCGTCAAACGACTCAAGCCGTCATTCCTCGACAAGTCTGACTCTTCGGTGGAACAAAGACCCTTCACCGCCTGTGTCATCACAATTCGCACCGCAACCTCAGAAGAATCAGTCCGGTCCAGCAGAATCGACCACCTTAACCGACAGCACTCCTACTAGTCCCACTATCAAGCGACGCGGTAGGAAGCTCAAACATCCTGTTTCCTTTTTCGGACATTTCGCACTTACTATTTTACATAGAACGTGCCATTGAAATGCTCTGCTCTTACCAAACGTTTTCAAAAATCCACGAAAATGCAAAACGGCCTGAAACTACCAAAAAGAGCAAAATCTTTTGAAAACACAAAATCCTCTTTGCAGGTTTTTCGCTTTGCACAGTTTTGTGTATTGCTATACAATTATGCTGCTTTTTCAGTTTACTTGCCATATACACCGCCGGTCGGTTTTACCTCGTGTTCACTTTTTGCTGAATCTGCGCACGTCAACTGGAAGTGGAACGAACTTCCGGCTCAACCGCCTACGTGAACTTCACTAACTGTCCCCCACAAATAGTTTTACCGTTTCGTCGCCGTAGGTAGGACACGGGTGGTAGCCCGCTAGCGTCCGATTGCATGGTTCTCTCCCAGCAGCTGCACCAGGTTTCACAATCTGGTCTCGCAGAAGGCTGGCCCACGACAGACAGTCCTCACAGTTCTCACAGACATTGGTTCTCGCTTGATACACGATCGGACTTTTGGTCCAGTTACCCATATCTCAGCTGTGCATGAGTCTGCTAGTAGAAACTGTGTGCATAGACTCGACAGTGCCGAGGTTGATTCGTGACCAGAGCTTGCTAATTGAGACATTGCGTTCAAGAGTTGAAGAGTTGCAGTCTTCATTGGAATGTTACTTGCGAAGTGCAGAACTTGCTATGGGTAGACAACGAAACGTTCTTGTCTACAATAGGGAGGAGCCAGTCATGCGAGAAACTAAAACTCGATGGGACCTGGCCAGAAGGCGAGTGCACGATATCCTTCGTATAGCCGGAATACCGTTATACGTTGGTATCAAAAGAGTACATCGTGTTGGCAGCTGGAGAGAAACAAGTGTACTCCACCACGAAGGTTATGCAAGGCCTATCCTGGTTGAGTTTCGGAACCCCATACACCGGGACCTTCTACTTAACAGGGCTGGGTTGGTTGCAAGCCAGACAAATGGTCGGTATTAAATAGCACCGGATATACTAACTTCGAAGGCTAAAACCCCTTGGCTGAGCCGGTTAGAAGGTACTAATACCAGCTTGGCTAGCGAATCTCCGGTCTCACACGTTGGAATTCACGATAGTGAGCCTCACGTTACGCAGACACCTAAGCAAAATTCTAGCGTTTGCTCTCCTGTGGCAAGGGCAGTCAGCTTGTCTGGACAAACCCCTTCACAAGACGCCAGCGAGATAACTCCTGACCTGCATTTGGTTGTGGAGAAACTTGCTCTTGATGGAAATAGGAATCACACCTCTATGGCGGAAGAGGGTAGTGAGGGTGTGGCAATGGGACTTCAGCCGGTGCGTTCCAAAACCATCGTGGCCTCACGCTCGATAGTATTGGCGCCAAAGTCCATGGGTGGTATGCCCTTTTCACAAAATGATAAGATAAATGAAAAATTTGCCACACCTCAATTGGACCGTACAGAAAATCCGAAGTGCAGTGCTGTTACGTCGACTCAGATAAATGGGAGGAAACCCGTCGGTAGTTTATCCAGCAAGCCCAGGCGGGCGAAGCCAGGAAAGGGATTATCCCGTAATGCGTCACAGCAGCCCAGCGTTGATTCATCGACTCAGGCAGCTGATCGAAATGAAATGGTACAAAAAAACGGGTTATCCCCTCGGGCTCTACGTCCGAGGGGAAACAACCGCGTTCGGAGAGACTAAGCGTGTGGTCCACTAATTGTTGTAGTGTGCGTAACAAATGGGGGGAGTTAGTGATGCGTTGTGAGCATGTTGATGTGGCCGCTGTGTCGGAGTCCTGGCTCTCTCCAGATGACCTTATTGGTGATCTGCTTATAGACTTTGCGTGCTACGGGGTTGACAGGTCCGGGTATCAGACTGGTGGAGGAATACTCTTGCTTATAAAGTGCCATAAACACTGGGAGGCTCCATTTACCATGAGTTCTGCAAATGTTTAGGTGGTATCCTGCTATCTAAGATCATGGGGTAGATTGGAGATTATAGTATGTGTTTATGGTAGCCCATCCTCCACGCGAGAAGAGGACAGAGATCTTGGTACGTTACTAAGACAGGCTGCAATGGCCGCACCTAATTTTCTGATCGTCGGTGACCTAAACCTTCCGCATGCTGATTGGCAGCATGTTGAATACAGAGTGGGTACTTTAGAGAAGGAACTAGTAGATTGGATGCACGTAAATGCGTTCGAGCAATACGTCAATGTTCAGACTAGGAGTTGTACTGGGAGCACCCCTTCAACCCTTGATATTGTGATCGCCAGACATGGTCACTTGATTGACCTATGCGTGGAGCCACCCATAGGTAAGAGTGATCATTGTGTTTTGACCTTTTCCCTGGACACACCGAGGCTTGCAGAGTACCGTCGAATGGGAAGAGATTTAAATCGTATTGATTTTACGAAGCTGCGGGATCGAGCCCTTCAGATCACTTGGGTCCCTGAACAGGACAAGGCCACTTTGGAACAGAGGTGGCTTCTACTTAAAAGTGGACTTGTACAGTTGCTGAATGAATTTGCTCCTCTTCGCCCCAGGAGACATCTTGGGAAACCCCATGGTGGAGAAGAAAAATTGATAGAGCGATAATGGGGCGCAATGCTGAGTGGAGAAAATATCAAGAAACTCGGGGCTTCCGACGTTGGCTGCAGTACAAAAGGTGTCGAAACATGGCTATTAAGTTACAGCGGCAGGCGAAGTACTCATATGAGCTTAGTTTGGCCAAATTTGCGAAAACTAATCCCAAGTGTTATTACAGTTATGTCCAGTCAAAGTCTTCTTTAAGAGAGGTGGTCGGCTGTCTAACCATGGAGTACGGTACCCAGGCTGTAGACGATGTTGATAAAGTAGAAGCGCTGCTACGTGTGTACCAAAGCCTGCATCGGAAGGATAGTGGGTCAGCCTTGCCATCACAGCCGTACTGCTCAACTAGCTACACAATGCGGGAAATTGTTCTCAAAGTGTCAGAGGTCTTCACAGTGCTGGCCAGTTTGAACCCTTATAAATCAGCCGGTCCTGATAACGTACATCCCGCCATAGTTAAGCCTCTGGCTGATATCCTTCAGTATACCGTGGCGGAGTTATTCAACCAGTCTCTTCAAGAAGGCAAGATGCCAAGTGATTGGAAGGAGGCGACTATTGTTGCCATCCACAAGGGGGGTTCTAAGTCAGTGCCTCTTAACTATAGACCTGTTAGTTTAACCAGCGTCATGCTGAAATGCCTGGAAAAGCTCATAAGGAAAGGCTCTGTGAGCACTTGACTGGGCACAATCTAATTAGAGCGGAACAGCATGGTTTTCTCAAAAAGAAGTCTTGTCTTATCAATTTATTGTGCTTTTTAGACGAGCTTACCCGTTGTCTTGATGGTGGGATATCGGTAGAGGTGCGCTATTTGGATTTCAGTAAAGCCTTTGACTCCGTGAATCATCGATTTTTAATTGAGCTGACATGGTTTGGATTACATCCTCAACTATTACTATGGCTCTCTGAATTCTTACGTGGAAGAACATTCAGAGTCGAGTGTAGCCTATATAGTACTTGTCCTTTCCTCTTCTGTTTACCTTCGCATTTCATCTTCAGTATCGTTAGAGCCACCAACTGTCATGGGTGTTTTATGCCATCATCTAGTCGTCTCCCGCTCGGTCCTCTACTGGCGGCTGTGACAGTACCGCCTAGCTAGCCATGAGATGTGAAACAAGCACACCGTTCACCTAGCTCCGACATTTACTAGGTTGTATTCCAGCCGCCTACGAAGTATCTCCTTTGCCTTTCAGCCCCTCTTGGTCTCATACGATCCACGTACACAGAAGCCCTTGGAACCCTCGACCGGACGCATATTACCCTTCCCATGAAATAAACAAAATGTATAGGCTAGTTTCAGTTGTGAAACTTGGCAGCAAACGGCTCACGCCATTGGCTTTTTGGAATTCTGCATTTTTTGATCGCACTATTAGTAGGCATATAGCTGCCGGGTGTGCAAACTTTCATGTGAGCTTTTTGCATGGGAATTTCTGGCCGCACGTAAGTATTCTAAACCCGTTCTATACTTCCTATTGTTATGGGTTCTTTCTACTTCTATTTATGTTTGAAGTTTCATATATTTTTTCCGTCCGATTTTTCAGCCTGCTTCGTTTTGCCTGCGTTACTTAAATGCGGACAATTTTTGTCTGGGATCGATCTTCTTATCTTCCATTTTGTTTTGCACAGCTAATAGGTTTAGACGCTGACCGGCTGGTACTATGCCTGCACTTATGTTGGTACGATAGATAGCTACGTGCATGACGACCGAGACACTTTCCGCTGAAGCTCAGTGTCATTAGGATGAGAGAGCTCAAGTTCGGTTTGCAGGGCATTCTGCTAGGTTTGCTTGACCGAGGGCTGAGATAACTTCTCAGGTACCAATCGAGGGAGACGCTTGGTACACCTCCCGGTAAAGGCCATGGAAAAATAACGACGTACCAAGACATGGTCAGAGTAGACGCAAGTACTCCACATAGAACGACAGTGCTTGATGGGACCACGTCACCTGTAACTTATGGCAATGTATTCAATTTGAGTCCATCGCTAGTCAACTACAGTACGCCAAGTGGCATCTCGGCGGCCACTGTGTCTAAAATCGCGGCTACGAGGAAGCAGCCAGCGTTCCGCACACAGCTATAGCAGGCGCTCACCGTAGTCCGTCCCTTCGGTTAAGTCCATACCATTTAGCAGAGCTTTTAAAGAACTCAGACGATCTACTTGCGCATTCATATCCTCTGATGAAATTAATATCTGAGCTCGTAACAATGCGTAGTATCGTGTTACTTTCGTGGCAGAGTGCGTCCTTCACAGCATCAGCTGCAATCGGTGGGAGCATAGGCGATCACAAACAAACAGCGTCTTGTGCTACTAATCGTATCTACCTTACTTGATGTCGTCAAACCGGTTGCACACATATGGCTGTTCTCGGGAATCCTGGAGATGAGAAATCTTGGAGTTGAGAATCTTGGCGTTGAGAAAAATCTCCACTCCAGTTTGACCAGTAGTTGCCGCATTAGCGTCTCTAATTGCATGCAACTACTGACGAGATGACGGATTTGGCGCAGTTAATTCGACAATCCCGTGAAACTAATTGATCCTAGTTTCGGAAACACAACACACCTCGATACCCAGTGGGTCCAACGTGTGTGCGAGTGCAGTCTGTTGACCTGTCTTAGAGTGCGAACGTTAAACGCCGCGAGGGAAACGGGACAGTGTGGCGTTATAAGGGGCTGTTGATGATTAGTGTCCAGTATGTGATGCGGGAAGATACCATCATATGTTATGACTCCACTGCCATTGTGGTTACTGCCAGTTAAACTGGGAAATGTAGAAGAAAGAATAGTAATGGGGACGGGGAAGCGTGTGAGAAACAGATGGAAAGGAGGCCCCAGCAGGGCATATTTTCGCTTATCCGCCCTGCCGTATGCTGCATATAAGGCAACTCATGATAAGCTGCTCGACGCTATTGATGTGTGTTGTGTGTCCGAAAATAGTATCAATAGTCCAATGGGGTTGTTGAATTAACTGCACCCTGCTTATCCTCTCGTTATTGGTTGCACGCATCCGGAGACGTCGATGCAGCACTCACGGGTCAAACTGGTGTAGGTGTCATCCTAAGCTCCAAGGCTGAGCCATCGTTGGTTGATTGGATTCCGGTGAACAGCCGTTTCTGTGCAGCCCGTTTGACGACATCAGCTAAGGTTGATTCACGAACTAGTACAAAACGCTATTTTTGCGTGATTTCCGCTTATGCTCCCACCGACTGCAGTTCAAATGCTGTCAAGCACACATTCTATCACAAACTGAGTGCGCTACTACGCAGTGCTACTAGTTCGGATATTATAGTACTTGCAGGGGATATGAACGCACAAGTAGGGCGTCTTAGCTCTTCAGAAGCTCAGCTGTGTGGTGATTGTGGGCTTAACTCCGAACGGACTGACAACGGTGAGCGTCTGCTGCAACTGTGTGCGGAGCACCAGTTGTTTCTTAGTATCACTGCTTTTAGACACAGTGGGCGCCGAAGTGCCACTTGGCGTCCTCCTGTAGCTGGCCAGCGATGGACTCAGATCGACTACATTGCCATAAGTTACAGATTGCATGGTTCCATCCTGGATTGCCGCTCGTGCTGGAATATCTGCCTCGACTCTGATCATGTCTTCCTATACTATCGTTTCTCCATGAACTTTCCCGGAAGGAGCATCAAGCGTATCCTCTGATTGGCAACGGAGAAATTGTCTCAGTCCCCGCCCAGACAAGTCTATCAAGACGCACTGCATACCGAACTTTCGCTGTCTTGTCCGAATGACACTGAGCTTCAATAGAATAGGATCTCGGTCACCATACACGACGCAGGAGCAACTGCTTGTGAAAATATCAATCATCACCTCACCAGATATCCGATAGATCAGGGAACCTGTTGGAATCCAGAAGAAACCTTCCGTCTGGCTCTGATCACAGTGCGACCAGATGGGCTATTAGGCGCAAACTAAAGCGGAGCCTCCATGCTGACAAAGAAGCCTGATGGACCAGTCGGGCTCAAGAAATGGAGGAGGCAGGAGCAGTAGGCAATTACCGCAAGCTCTTCCAGCTGATCCGCACCACTGGTCCCTGGAAACCAGGCGTCAGTGAAGCGGTCAGCGACAGCGCGGATGCGCTGATTCACAATAAGGATCGCTATATGGCTCGTTGGGCGGAACACTCAAGTTCAACTGACCCTCTCCTCACGGAACTCATTCTACTCAGGTGATGCAGGACGAGCCATGGACGGTTAGTTTAGAGCCTCCGTCGGAGACTGAGGTCCGAAACGCGATCGCAGCCCTCAATCGTTTTCGTGCCGCTGGCCTGGATTCCCTCCCACCTGCACTATTTAAGGATGGATGTGAGGTCCTCTGCAAAGCACTGACCTCACTATTCGAACGTATCTGGTAGCATGTCCCGACTAATTGGAGCGAATTGATTATAATGGCAATATACAAGAAGGGCAGTCGCACAGACTGTTCTAACCACAGGGGTATTAGCCTAACGCCAGTTGTGACAAAGTTACTGGCCTCGATTATCGTTCGTCGCCTCACTGTGAAACGGGAATCCCGGATTAGGGAAGAGTAGGCAGGTTTCCGCCGAAGACGTTGCTGTATAGACCATATATTCACTCTGCGACAGGTGCTAGAGCAGCGCCACGCATACCGCAGACCGACAATAGCTGTGTTCCTCGATTTCAAGTGTGCGTTCAATCCAGTCAATCGATCGATTCTGTTTGAAATACTTGCGCGGGAAGGTGTTCCCACGAAATATGTGAACATCCTACGTGCTCTATACTCGAACACTACAGGCCGCGTCAGTTTCTACGCCGACCTGTCGGATAGCTTTCCGACCACAAGTGGCGTTCGTCAGGGTTATCCGATTTCCCCATTTTTGTTCAATTTCGTCGTAGATTCTATCATGGAGTGTTCCCTTGCGGAATCTCACGATGTAGGCTTTGAAGTGCTGCCTGGTGGAAGGTTAGTTGATCTAGATCATGCGGACGTTATCATTTTGCTTTTCGACGATGTTGGGGCGGCACAATCAACCCTGAATCGCCTGTCCAGAGCGGCTCATTATTTGGTATGCGCTTTGCACCTTCAAAGTGCAAAGTCTTGCTACAGGACCACCAGCCACTTGATGATTATGATGATACCTTTCGATACGGATAGTCTGCATTTAATATAGGAGACGGCGTCTACAGCACACACCAACGATAAGTCATCATCGTTCCATTGTGTTTTTACTTCTTCGTTAAAGTGGGTGGGACTATAATCCCCGTTCTTCATCCGCTGACTTAGCTCGGCTTATGAAAATCAGTTGACTTAAGCGCACCAATTCCCTGCTAACTTGCAAAGTTGCCTGTGCCATCTGCGTTATCCTTACGCTATCGTTAAGGTAAGCCACGCTTGGGTACAGTTTCACTCCAGAATGATGAACTACTGACTTGGTGCAATGTAGTAGCTTTATTGCACCTGCCCAAGACGGAAGAGGCACATATAACCTACCTTTATTGGGCTTACTTAACGGTTGTATTGCGTGATTAATTCACATGTTGCCCACTACACTGTTGTACTCATCGTGACCTATGATACCCTGCTACCTCCTCAAGTGCATTCTAATACGGTGACATACAGGGACAGTGAGCTACGGCACCTTACTCTTCGTATCATTATTCGTCCGCGATTCAGATCACTAAGTAAGCTCCATCGTATTGTTCACCAGGCTATGCGAGGCTGCTATACCTCTTTCGCTACCTGCATTCTGCTCCTTGAAATTGATTTGTAGATTACATGACCTTATATCGGCCTGTTGCCCAATACTAACTAACGGCACCCAGTTTGGTCGTCCTTGACTTCATTTCCCGCTGCCAAGTCAACTTCTGTCCACCTCGAGCCCTGCGCCATCCTACACCTGGCAGACTAAACAAGGCCCTCCTAGGTAAGCGGCGACCAGGCATACGTAGCACGTGCCCAATCCAACGCAACTTATTCAGTGCTATTTGTTGTTCTAGGGAGATAGCATGATTATCACTACCTAGTACTCGCCAACGCACATCATCGTTGCGGACACGATGGTGCCATCCGACTCCAACAATGCTTCGCAGACAACGATGATCAAAGACTTGAAGGCACCTCAGATCTTCGGACCGAAGGGGCAAGGTCTCACTCACTGTGGCCTTGTATACACGGCCTTTCAGACGGAGGGAAACTCCCTTCTTTCGCTAAAGATGCCGCAGGTTCAAGAAGGTAGTTCTAGCTTTTACAATGCGTGAGCTGATGTCAGTTTCTATGCGCCCATCATTGTTGATGCAGCTTCCAAGATAAGCGAATTGATCAACCACCTCGAGCTCCTCGTTAACAAGGGTCAACGGGTCATCAAGTGGCTGGTGGTCCTGTAGCAAGACTTTGCACTTTGAAGGTGCAAAGCGCATACCAAATAATGGGCCGCTCTGGACAGGCGATTCAGGGTTGATTGTGCCG